AGAAGAAAAAACAAAAGGAATCGCTGGATATCACACCTCAGACACAAAGCGAGAAGAAAAAAGGACGCTATTATTAAAAAAAAAACAGACAAAAAAAAAATATCATACATATTAATATATAATAGATATTATATTATTACTAAATATTATATTAATATATGATGCTATATATTAAATATTTCTATTATGTCCGTCTGCAAAGTCTATTAGAAGAGTCTAATACTGTCAACCTATTCTTGCGACCCATGGTGGATCTCCTCGAATATATATGTATATACATATATGTAAGTGTGTGTATGCATGTATGTATGCATATAGAATGGTCGAAAATGAATTTTTCATATTTCGATGCTGCAAAGAAAAAGAAAAAAAAAAAAAAAGAAAAAGAAGACAAAAAAATACAAAAGAAAGACAAAGAAAAAAGAAGAAGAGATACGAGCACACATCACAAACAAGACATTTGATATCGAAGATAAAAAAAAAAAAAAAAAAGAAAAGAATGGTGGAAAGGCTCTCTCACTTTGGATAAAATTACTATTCGTGTAGATGAAGTTCAATGATGATTAATCGTGCGAAGGAGCTTATCGAATCTGAAGGTATTACAGTATCACGCAATTGCGCACAGAGGATCACTTCGTTAGAATCGTGCTATCTCATAACACTTGTATACTCTTAGGTTTATTATAACTTCTTCGCCATCGTTGTATTTCCTCGAGAAGAAACGATGTCTCTTTGTCTTATTACCGAACATATGAATTATCGTCAAAACATATCTTTCGCGATTGAATCATAATAATTCATATTGTTTAAATTTTCCCATTATGAGAAAGAATCTTTGCTGAAAAAAGAGAAAAAGATTTTGTCATAAAAAGCTAATAAATTTTTATGTCGTGCTTTCGTCTTGAAACAGACATTTAATTTTCCTTTAGAATGAAACGATATTCTTTAATTGAGAATGTACAATAATCTTATCTAAAGTTTCTCAAATATATCATTGCGTTCATTGCTTTACTGATTTCAATCGACAAATAATAAAATGCTTCTATGTAATTGACATTCTTTCAAAAAAATTACCAAACGGTATGAAACACACGATTCTAAGTTAACTTAGTTATTACATCTAGTGCAGCGCGATGCAATAATTTAACGAACTGTGTATGTATATGTTGAAACACGCAGTGGTATAAATTCATATGAGCAAATGTGTGTGTCTCAGCCCATGTTGTCGAAGCATCAATAAAAAAGAGATTTTGTAAATCAGAGACTTATTTCTTCCTTCGACTTCTCCTTCTTCCCTGTTCATAATGATGCCGAAATCTTTCTAACAAAACTACAATCGCGACTTTCAAATTTTTTGAAAGTTATCAACTAATTATTAGTTGTAAACCACAGATAAAAAAAATATTAACATTAAGAATTATAATTTAATTAATTTATTAAAAGATCATTATATATTGTCATTCCGTAATATTGTCAAATATCTATGAATAGAAATTTGTAAAATTGAAAATTATACTCTGAATATTCGTGGTTAGAGTTTCATATATATTTCGAACTAATCAAATCATGCCATGTACTTTTTTGTGTCAGTTAGAGCTCTTTCTGACACGGACATAAATACATGATAAAAAATAATTTTAAATGCTAATCTCGTGTTTTGAAATCTGGAGATACAATTAAACATTTTGCTTGTATCATTTTACTTGGTATAGTCACAAACGAGCTTTACATTTCGATATTGAAAGTTTAACAACTCTGTAATGGGTCTCAAAGATCGTGTTGATTCATTCACTAGTTTCCTAACTCACCGTTGTCTAAACGTAGAGTGCGCTAAAAAACCAGTGATTCTTTTAGTACGTCGGTATTTCAGGTCACGGATCACGAAAGTCCGTAAGGTGCAATGTCTATTCATATATCTCGTTTGTGCCGTGGCCGAAAAAATACATGGTCATGCAGTGAATTCTATTCGTATACCTCGTCTGTGATATAGTCGATAAAATTGTAATTGGATTGGATTGATAAACAGAATATCTACATTACCTACTTTCGACTTAACAGAATTATGTGCTGTCATCTATTCGATCGAGTCGTTTCTATAATTTTATTCACGTGCACTTGATGACACTACTTTCCTTGTTTTCAGTCAAAATTAAAAAGAAAAGAAAAAAAGAAACACTGTCCAAAAGATGGCAGTATTAGTATCTCTGTAGTAAATTACATCGTTAATTTAGTTCTAGCATTCCATTATTATACGATGCTAGTGTTTCCATGTCCTGAATCAATCAAATTTTTATTTGCTCAAAATACTAATTATGTAGAGGGTTTAATTTGTCAATTTTTTTTCATTCTATCTTTCAAATTAAAGTTTCTTACAATACTTCGCTCAATAGACGCTCAGTCAAATAATTTTGAGATAATAGTAGAAATTTATATTGCAAAAGAAACAATGATGATTTATGAATAAAAATCACAAATTCTTCTAAATATTTTATCGAAGAAACTTTCTAAATTAATAAATCACGTGTGTAAAATTACAATCAATTTTTCAATCACGTTATCACATGCATATATATCATTTGCGTCATATTTATGAATATTTATGTAATATGGAGTAGAACTTCGTTAATGTTGAAAGTTTATTAAAATTTTCTTCTTATAAAATCTTTTATACATATATTACAGTGATAAAAATAACACTAATTACTTACTCCGATACTAACATGAAATTTATTTTTAACACGTTTAATACGTTTTTATCTGAATTTTATTAGCCGGCGTTACACATACATAATCAATTTGAAAAACATCGGAATATTAATAAAAATAATTTTTATCATTTAAATTAAATACATTGAAATTTTTTTAATAAAAAAAAATACATAAGTAACTGTTTAACGACGATTATTGATTTTCATTTACAACTTGTTAAAAATGAAAATATGAATGAGAATCATTGGTCAGCAAAAAAAAATTGAACTTTGTACAATTAAACGACATCAGCGCTACGTTATGCTGTTTTCTCTGACCATTAGCATAGTAGTTTGTAGTGTCACAAGAGTAGCAGTAGTGAATCGGTTCTTTCCACAGTGAAGTCACAAAATCTCGATCAGTTAATAAAACTGTGCATTCGACAAAAATGGAGGTATATATTTATTCACGTAATATATATATTAAAATCAATAATCAGTAGTCAAAAGAATATATAATTCAATGTGCTTTCCTTATTTTTTTAGATTCAAATATTGACCGCGAAATCATCAAAATTCATAACAAATGTATCCGTAAGTAAATAAATAAATAAAAATAAAATAAATACATGGTTTACAGGTCATTTATCTTAACAGGAAATTTTTAAAATTTTTATCTATGTTTATTCGATACCAATTCTTGATAATAGTCTTTTATGTAATGTATATAGATTTATAATGATATACATAAATTTAAATTTCTAATGAGAAATTTCTTTATGTATGACGTACTTTATATTCTTTAGGTAGAACCTACTACAACTATACAACAAATCAAAGAAGAATTATTCAAATTAAAAAAAGCACCGCATATTCACAGGCAAAGTTTAAGATTAGATGCCAAAGGGAAAGCTTTATCTGATTCAGATACCTTGAAAAATTTATCTATTTCTAGTGAAGGAAAATTATATTTGAAAGATCTTGGACCACAAATTAGTTGGAAAGGTGTATTTTTAGTAGAATATGCTGGTCCATTAGTTCTTTATTTATGGATGTATCAGCGTCCCTGGATATTATTTGGTGATTCAGATGCTTCCAAAATTGATAATGTAATCCAGTGAGTTTATTTAACAAATTCTTAAGTATATTTACTTAAATTCAAAGAATTATAATTACATTTTGAACAAATGAGCTATGCTAATTGAATATTAATGTAAAAAGAGCAATTAAATAAAATTAGATAGATATTAAATTCTTAATTTAATTTCAGTGTGGCAGCTCTTTGTTGGACTATACACTATGCAAAAAGACTTCTAGAGACATTGTTTGTGCATCGGTTCAGTCATGCAACAATGCCACTGCGCAATCTTTTTAAAAACTGTTCTTATTACTGGCTGTTTGCTATGTATGTAGCATATCATGTAAATCACCCTCTGTATACAGCTCCAAGTCAATTGCAATTCCTTACTGGGCTGGTAACATTTGCACTTTGTGAATTGGGAAATTTGAGTATTCACATAGCTTTAAGAAACTTGAGACCAGCAGGAAGTACAGTGAGAAAAATACCAGTACCCACTAGTAATCCTTTTACTGTATTGTTCAATCTTGTATCATGTCCAAATTATACTTATGAAGTTGGCAGTTGGATTGGTTTCACTATCATGACTTCATGTTTGCCAGGTAAAATGTTTTTTATTTTATCAACAAAATATACATAATGTAAATTATATATAATTATCATATATTTTCAGCTGCTCTCTTTACTTTTGCTGGTGCATATCAAATGACTCTGTGGGCATTAGGAAAGCATAAAGCATACAAAAAAGAATTTTCTCAATATCCAAAAAATAGAAAATCTATCATTCCATTTATTCTTTAAATAATATAATTCTAATTTATAATTCTAATTTAAGGTAGTTGGTCACTATTATTATAACATTTCTTTGTTCTAATTTGTTAAATAAATAATTTACGATAAAAAAAGATCATACATAATTTATTGTTAAAAGATTTTTACACAACCAATTAAATATTTAGCTCTAAAAAGTTCCTACTTACGCGTGACAAGCATATCTAGAAAGTAATTTTAGTTTCTGGTTCTTCGCAAGGTAGTTTGCTTATCAATTTATACATATCATCTTTTAAAGCAATTATTATATTCTGACACTCCTGCATTTGAGACCTATATTCAGTTTGCAATTGTTCATGCCTGTAACATGCTTCTTCCATTCTCTCTCTTGCTTCTGATGGCTTTATATCTTTCGCCTCTAAATCTAACAGGTTTTCCATATGCTGTATATGTTTTCTTGCGTCTTTTAATTCTTCCCTCAAAGCATTTAATTCTGTTATTAATATGATATTTTCCTCTACCGTTTTATCTATATCTTTCCCGCTGCCTGCCTTATCCTGGAAAACTTGTCTTTTAAGAGAAGCTATCGTTCTTTCTAAATGATCCCTCTGTTTTATAAATTCACATTGCGCGTCTAAATCCGCTTTACAGCTACGCAGAAATTCATCGCTTGAACTGTACTTGTGATATAATTTTGTCACGGCAGCTTTTAACGCCTGTGGTTCTTGCACAAGCCCCGAAGCATCAAGCAAATCTACTCGTATTCTTTTTAAGAGTTCTTGACATCTTTTATTCCGATGTATTTCATATTCAAGTTCACGCCTTGAAGCTCTCAATTTCTCTCTCAATTCATGTACCTGTAATTCTAAACTAATAGTGGTTTTATGCAAGTTTACAAGCTCTGTTTCCATATCTCGGATTTTCTCTTTGAGCTGTTTGATTTCTTGGTCCCGCGGTTCTATTTGATTTTTCAACTCTGTAATCTTATAATTCAAAACGAATTTAAACTTCTCCAGTTCCTGATTTGTACGCTTTAGTTCATATATCTGATGTTCTCTATCTTGAATCGTAATATCTCTTTCATTTATTTCGTTTTTCAGGTCTTCTTTATCTTTTTCTAATTCCTGAATAGTCTTTTGGAAATAACCGTATTCGCTCTTCACTCGTTGCAGTTGTCTTTTCAAATCTTCAACATCTTTTAAACTAGTCGTATATCTGTTACGCAACGTTCCAACTTCTCCTTTCAACCGTATATTTGCCTCCTTTTTTTTATGCAATAGTGTTTCATAATTTGTTTTTAGTTCCAAAATCTCTTTATCAGCATCATCTTCAACTTGCATCATCATTTCTTCGTGTACTCGTGCCTGGTGTGCCATTTCATCCTGATTTTCTTCTAATTGCAATTTCTTCTCGTGAAGAAGTGCCTCGTATTTAGTGATTGCTTTCCGCAATTCCTCAATACCGTGCTTCTCTACCTCTTCCAATCGTTTCTCATAATTCTGATGTACGATATTCATTGTATTTTCAAACGCTAGATATCTATCATATTCTACAATCAGTTTAGCATTATAATTCGTTTCCATTTGCTTCATCGTCTCTTCGTGTTTCTCTTTCATTTTAAGTATTTCAACGTTTATTGTATTCAGCTCGTTCTTGTGGTCTTCCTGTAGTCTACTTATCTTATCTCTTAATTCTTCAATAGCTTCGCAATATCCTTCATGTATATCTCGTACTTTGTCATTATGTACTACTTCTATTTGACGAGTTTTATACGCGTGTTCAGTTTCAAGTTCCCTCATTCTAACATTTAAATCAATTATTGTTTGCATTTTCTCTTGCAAGTCATCTTTATTAATTAGCACTTCATTTGTATATGTGAGTTCTTTCCCAATCTTTCCTTTTCCTTCGGGATATATTAATTTCCAAATACATAAACTACCATCCATTCCAGTAGATATCAAAAACTGTTCATTATAAGAAAGGGCAATCTGCAAAGAATAAGGCTTAATTACTTTGTACTTTACTTCATACATTTATACGTTCCTACCTTTGTAATATCAGCAGAATGAATATGAAAAGTTAAATACTGTATAGGTTCTTGAAATGGACATTTTACTGATAAAATAATACCACCGGGGCAAGCAAGAAATAAAGCTTGATCTTCTTTACCTAGTACCATGGCATACATATTTGCATCAGGAAAACTATGTTGTCGCGTCTGAATATGAATAATGTACCAGATTATCCTCTGTTTCAAATTTATAAAGTTGTAGAGAGATTAAATTATATATTACCGTATTCTCTTTTATCTCGTATATATTATTATCATCGGCAATGCAATAGGTAATCTGTTCATCAGCAGAAAGAGCAATATCATGTAAAACAATCCCTTTTAAAATTATCTCGGCAGAACGACGACCAGTAGTCATATCCCACTGATAGATTGTACCTTCTGCACCTAGTGTAAGTAATTTTGTATCTGTTTGTGACCAAAGTATAGTCTTCACTCTATTAGTATGCCCTTTTAAAATAAAACTGCTAGTAAAATCAATAGTACAATAAATTTGTACAATATTTCCGTTAACAGCGGCGAAAAAATGACCTCCGTGATTAAATTTCACGGTCTTACAACATCTTATAGAAAATTCCTCCATAGGTAATAAATCGTTTACTAGTACGCTCATGAAACGTAATTTATCGCTAAATCCAATCAAACAGAAAAGACCTGTAGGATGTAAAGCAATTCCACAAATATCTTCTGTATATTGTTTATGTAGAATTAGTCTTCCTGATTCAAAATCCCACAATCTTACACTATGATCAAGTTCTCCACAAGTCATAAAAATGGATTTCCAAGCACATACAGAGAGATCAGTTATGGGTCCAAAATGCCATGCTTGATCCATGATTTTTAACTTTTTTGGTTCTGGATGTACATTTAAGTCTGATCCCCATAATCTTGCATAAAACAATTGAGGCCAACCAGCTGTAATTAACAACTGATCTGAGCTTAAATTAACATTTATGCTATTGACTTGATATAAATCTTCATTCTCTTGCTTTGATATTTGGGTTGGTATTATGAAAATATTTCTTTTTACATATTTATGCCAGCCTTCTTTCTCGAAAACTATAATTGTTCTTGATAATGCATATGCAAAACCTCTTTGAAATGCAACTAAACAACGAACATTGTTTTCCCATGGAATGTCTTCTTTTGCATCCATAGTTGCAATAGAACTACTAGCTTGTAGAACATATTCTTCACGAATTTTAAGGTTCATGAATAATGTGTCAGTCATTTTGTAAATATTTTTTAAATCACCATTCTCTAAGTAAAGTATTTTACCATCTTTGGTTCCAAGCAATAATCTATCCGAATTCAACCAAATCATAGAACATGTAAGAATATTGTCTGCTTTAGAAAATCCATATGGCCGCCATACAGTGTCAGAAAGAGTCAAGAATTTAAACGTGTATAGACCTCCAAGTGCAAGTACTCCTGCATCAGATGGATTACAAGCTAATACTTCTACAATAGCTAATGGATTCTGAGGAGTGCCTACTTTTATACTGGACTCTACTGTTCCCTTTTCCCAATTGTAAAAAAGCATTGTTTGGTCAGGCTCTCCTGTAACTGCTACTAGATGCTTATTATCAAAAGTAAATCCTATACATGTAAATCTTGTTACATCAGGTGCATCGTATGGTATTCCAAGAAGTTTCCTTCTTTTCAATGTATCAGTATCATAAATAGATATAGTAGGTTTTTCTCCAATATCGCATATCGCAACATATTTTCTTTAAAAGAAAAAAGAAAAAGATTAAAACAATAATGTTAAACTTTATGTTAGAGGATACAAATACTACATGCGAAAGAGCCTACTTGTTATGCGCAACTGAAATTATATTTATCTGTTGTTTCTCAGATAAACGTATGAATCTTTGTCGATATTCCGATACATCATGTAGTGCTATTACATTTCCAACAGGGTACAGAATTTCTGAATCCGAAATGTAGTGAGCATTTGAGCTTATATCAGTTTTTAAACCATAAAATACTCTACTTTGCAAATTAACAACCATTTTATGAGCCTTTGAGCTTATATCAGTTTTTAAACCATAAAATACTCTACTTTGCAAATTAACAACCACACTAAAAATTCTTTCTCTTCTTTCACTTAAAAAATACGAAGATAATTCTCGAATTTTCTACACAAAATATACACGTCCATTTCCAAGGATCTGTATTTATACTACCATAGCAACAAATATGACATTCAAAAATTATTATTTACGATACTATAAATAAAAAAGTTTGTTGGCTTCAGTAATTATAAATAAAATTGTCAATATAAAGCCGATCATACATTTATACATTCATATAAAGATTACGGTTCATATTAAACAACAATTTGTATAATTTTTTGTATTCGCTTAACATTCGTTCACAAATTTTCCACCATATAATGTGTGACTATATTCAGATAGTAATTGGAAGGACGATATGAACTTGTTGCAAAGTACACAAAAAAGTAACCTGAATGTGCTCCACATAAAAATAATAATTATTAACGTTATAATAGTTTGAAATATTTCTATTTTAGATTATTAATTATATATGAGTAACATGTGTATTTAAATAGATAACTGCATGAAACAGGAAATCTTTTATTTAAAAATCTAACCTAAACCCAGAAATTGCCTTTTAATAATACATTTACAAATTGTTATTTAAATAAACAATGGCAGATGTAAATAATGAGAAAGTTAAAGAAATCAAAACGATTGATCACTTGACAGCAGAATGTTGTAAGAATTGTGGACATTTATGTGATCCCTACAATAAACCAGCATTATTTTGTAATGAATGTTTGAAGAAGATTCATGTAGAATGTTTAAAGCGAGGAGGTGTTCCAGTATCATTTGTAGGAGATGTATTTTTTGATTTAACTTGTTCCGATTGTAGTCCTTTCGGTGAAGAAACAATAGCACGCAATAGGATGCCATGGCTGAATGTAATTATATTA